CTTCCCTGGTCCAACACCTCAAAGCCACAGGACATGAGATTGACTTTAAAAATACCAGAACTATCGCCAAAACCGAACACTTCAACAGCAGAATAATCAGAGAAGCCATAGAGACAGAAAAACGCCCACACAGCATGAATAAACGAGATGATGCCTCCCGCCTACCAGCCATTTGGAAACCCGCCCTCATTAACAAATGAGTACCGAACATGAAGAATGACACCAGACCCACACCCATGAGGACCACGCAAGATGCTACCACCACACTTCCACGTAGAAAGCAGACTCACACCCACACAGAAGATGAGACACGACCACGGACCAGAAGCCGTACCGCAGCTGCATCACTACCCGCTTCAAACCCCTCCGACCCATACATAAAGCAAACGGACGCCCACCACGAAGATGTGGCACGATCACGAATGCGAAGCCAAACAACAGGATCACAGCTCACCAGCTCAAATCCCCCGGCAACTAAGACTAACCTGAGCACAACCAAGCCCCCACCTGAACAGAACACACCCCCAGCCAATCAGAACACAGCCAACCCCCCAACCAATCAGAACACAGCCAAACCCCCAATGAGAACACACCCCCACCCAATCAGAACACAGCCAAGCCCCCACCCAATCAAGTCACACCCCCACTAGCAATTAAGAAGCAGCTGCAAGCTCACATTACTCCGAGAATCACAAAGCCGAAGACACAAGCCTGAAGATGATGAATGAGACTTCATCGAAACATCGCCTAGATACTTCCAATTTTACGTGGGAGAAAACCCGAATAACCAAAGATCCACATGTATGTATGTATGTATGTATGTATGTATGGTATTCAGCTTTGTTCGGGTATTTTCCCACGTAATTATAGTTGTGCTTTTAAAGTTGTAGCAACGTTTCGGCAGAATCTCATCTGCCATCATCAGGCTTCTGTATTGTGTTCGTCTGTGAGTCAGACTTTCACAGCCGTTTCAGTTTGATATATTTCATATATATATATAGTCAGAAATGGCCACCTCAAAGAAGAATCCGACTGGATAAGATTGTGCAAAGAGGAAAGCAGGACAGACCGGGCTAATCAACAGAGAACATCTAAGCAAGGTACCCTGAATCTAAAAGTACCTAAAGGGATACTTCTGAAAGAAGTATCTTTAAGCGGCGAAGGAGAGAGAAAAGGAGGTTAAAATCCCTTTTTTAACCTTTATATTGACAATTACCAATGGTATGGAAAGAAATTTATATTAATCTATTTTGACACTAATAGGCAACCTTAAGCTAAAATCTAAGTGTCAAAAGGAGAATAAATATTTTTTCTTGGTCATTTTAAAGCCCTAAAAAGGAGAAGAGTGGAGGCAAAAGGGTGGGACTTGGAATAATGGAAAAATGGAGTGCCACCTGGAAAAATAAAGAGGATTAACAGTGAAATATTGAAAAGACTCCCAAGGATACATTGTAACTGAAATCTTATTAAAAGATACAGTAACCCACAGAAAGGAAAAGTAAAGGAAAGAAACAATCTGGGATCATTTGGTGATTTTAAAAAAAGTTTTTGGCATTGGTTTTTTCTTTCTATTTTTACTTAAAGTCAATCGGGTGGTTGTTCAAAAGTGTTTAAAATGCCACCACTCCTGGAGGAATTAAAGATGAGTCTTAAAAAAATAGAAAGAAGATGCAGAAAGGGGAGGAAGATCCTTTGGCTTTGTATTTGAATTTTTTGAAATGGAGATCCTGAACTATGAAAAGCAAAAGGAAAAGCTTCAAGACAAGAAGAAGGGTGGGACAAAGAAGAAGCCATTTTCAATGATCAAATATTGAAAAATGTGGTAACAAGGGGAAAAAGGGGGAAAGGAGTTAAAAGTTTGAGATCAAAGGGAACAGCCAAAAAGAAAAATAGTCTGAAAAAGAAGTATAACAGCAAGAAGCAGAAAAGAAAACTACAGAAATTAGAGAGAGAAGGGTATTAAAGAAGGGATGAGAAAAAAGGGGGAAAAGATAGAAAGCGAAAGAACTTATGAGGGACAAAAACAGGAAATAAAGAAAAAGGGGAAACATACTAGGATTAAAGGTATTTGCTCAGCTAGAAAACACAGAGACAATGGTTAAATTAAGTTAAAAGTGAGGATTCTGCAAAGGTACAAAAGATAGTGTTGTGACAGTAGAATACTGTAATGAGTCAGAAATGAAATAAGTAAATAATCTATGAGATAAAACTGTATTGTTATGTAATGGTATGTTTATTTATAATTAATGCAATAATAAAGATGAGAGGGAAACATTGCAATTTTTTCTAAAGATTGATAAAATATTGAAAATAAATGTGAAAGATTTATAAGGAAATTTATACCAGTTATTAGAATGAATCTGAATAATTATTTTTCTTATTAATAGTAAATAATTTATAAATCTGTATGACTATCCAATGGTATGCTTATTAATAATTAAGTAATAAGAAGGGAGGGAAACATTTCAATTGTTCTCAAAGATTGATGGATATTGAAAAGAAATGTGAAAGATTTACAAGGTTCATACCAGTACTAGAATGATTTTGAATAACTATTTTGTTTACTAATGTTTATATATATAGATAGATAGATATAGATATACGTATCTATATCTATCTATCTATCTATCTATCTATCTATCTATCTATCTATCTATCTATCTATCTTTTCTTAAGTTTTCGCAGGTACTTACATGTATGGCATTCAGCTTCGTTCGGGTATTTTCCCACGTCATTGTAGTTGTGCTTTTAAAGTTGTAGCAACGTTTCGGCAGAATCTCATCTGCCATCATCAGGCTTCTGTATAGTGTTCATCTGTGAGTCCGGCTTTTATAGTGGTTTCAGATTTAAATTTGGGGCAGCCTATTGCTGTGCCAGAATGGTTTTTTCTTCACCCTGATTGGTTGGGAGTCTTGGTCTGTGTTTATTGGTCTTGGAGTTTGCTGTGTTCTGCTTGATTGGTGTTTCTAATATCTCCTGCCTGTTTTTTGGCTCTTTTTGTCTCTTGATTGGCTGGCAACATTGTGTTACTTTATTGGAGGCCTTTAGTGCATCTTGACTCCAGGTAAATGGACGGCTATCCTTAGTTAGGAAGCTAGATTTCATCTGGGTGCCTGGTTGGGGTGTGTTTGAGCTATTGTTTTTGCTATGTTTTTAGAATTTTTCTTTTTACATTTTCAAGGGGAAGTACCAAGCAGAGTCTGAATGATGAGATTTACATGATATAAAATAGATATTAGAAATTTGAATGTTATAATTTTAGAATGCACAAATTCAATGTTTAATTTCATATGATAGTAACAATAAGATTTAAAGGTGTTGCACTTCGATTGGCAATCACAGGGGGAATTTTTCTTCTTAAGAATGTTGGAAGAGAACCTATGAAATTGTAAAGAAGACAGATGAAAGTATAAGTATAATGAATAAAAAGATGTAGAAATTTAGGTAAAAGAAATACAGTTGAATAAGAAGAAAATGACATAACCATAAAAGAAAATTAAGAGAAGTAAAGCGAGAAATAGTAAGAAGTTGGAAAAAGAGTAATAAGATATGAAGTTGAATACATAAGATGAATATGCATATGAAATGTGATAACCCGGAACCATGCTGTACTCAAATAAGATGTTTTATTTGTTTTGTTAAAACTCAATAAAACTTTATTTAAAAAAAAACACACATTTTGAAGAGCTGTTAAGCTTTGCCCTCTATTCCTTATCAATATCCAATAGCATATTAATGAAGATTGACAGCCAAGAAGCATCAAATCAATCCTACAACATATGTAATATTTGTTGTATCTGGATTTATGACAAACTTTTCAGTGTTGCTCATTTGATGGCTCATTCTATTTTTCTATAGAATTAATACTATCAAGAGATTCAAATTGGTGAGACTCACAATCCTACATCAACCTATCAATAAACATTTCTGCTCCTAGAAAGATTATGAACACTTCAATTGCCATTATCTTAATTTATTGAGGTCTTTACCCAGAATGAATTAAAGTGAATCCATTGGCTGATTCGTATACTCCTTGGTAAAAGATGAAAGTTCGATTTAATATATAGGGAGTCTAACAGAAGCAGCAGTAACTGCATTATAAAGCAGATAGCCTTAACTGGAATGTTTTAATCCTAGCTTTATCGCAACTGTTGAAAGATTTACAACACAATACGATAAAGTGGCAAGTGATAAAAATGTAGCATCCTCCAATGACCTTATAACCACACAGCATTTTGGGGACTTAAATAACCAAACTTCTTTTAAAAAATTCTGGAGAAGTTGATGTGCTCTTGCTACAATCTGTTCAACCTTAGCTATTGCCTTGCAGTTGTTGCTCAGGGTCTGGGAGGCAATACAAATAAAGCCTTTATAGTTCAATGAAGTTCATTCGTTAAATGAAGTTGTGATTTTTTTTCCCTAATGTTTCTGAATAAATGTGATGACAAGCTTATAGACAAATATGGCTGTCTCTATTATTGGTATCTGAAATGCACTAGGTGTTTTAATGTCCTGTGACAATTTCTTTAAGTAAGCAGAAAATCCTGAAAATATGTGTTACTTGCTATATGCTATACATAACACACTTGCCAGGATTAATTTAACTAGTTTGCTCAGTAATGTCAAGCTTCTAACACAATGATACATAACTAACCAGACTAAATGAATTCACTTAAAATGATAGATTAACTACTTCGTGGCCCACATAGCAAAGTACTGTCCATTCTAATCAAACAAGTACCAGATTTCACATCTCAAAGAAGTATGCATGCTCCCTATTTGAGGTTGTATTCTAAACATTCCATTTTAATGAATGTACTGCTTTCAGAATGTGCCTATAAATTGAATACTATCTTTAAGGAGCTCATCATCAAAATTGCTGACCTGTGATACCTTCTGATGCATAAACATTCGTAAGACATACAGCCAAATCGTAAGCTGAAAAATATAGTTCAAAATTCAAATGCCTGAAATGTAAGATACCACCCAAAAACATACTGTTATAGTTGAACAGTTTTTTTTAATGAAACTAGAGAGCAGCATACAAAAATCTGCACATCTCCCCCTCCCTTTCTTCATCCTCATCTCTGCCACTATCCCTACTAGAGAGTCAGCAGTGGATCGGTTCTGACTAAGTATTCTTACAGTTACAAATTTATATGAGAAACAAACACAGAGAGGAAAACAAATATATTTAAAACTGAGAGCAATTTTCCATGCTACAGAAAACTGACATCAACAGCTATAATGTACCCGATGTTCCATCAGTCCAACACCCCATGTTTACCCCATAGTTTTTCATTACAGCAAGGAATAGATCCAGCGGCTTTGCATCCTAGAAACAAGTTACAGGCTGTAGAATTTCAGGCTTCTGTCCATGCCTGTGGAAGCGAGGAACTTAGCATGGTGCCCGAAGGCTACTCCTGTTGTCAGCCCACTGTGCTCTGCAGAAAAAAGAAAGGGCAGTCAGACAAGGTATTTTTCATTCTATGATTATCATTCGAAGAAACAGAAGGCAGCAGAAAGAACCAAAGTACTGATGCTAGCCATCAATTCAAATGACAATATTGTACGGCACCTGTGGAGAGTGATACAAAGGCCAACAATCACATACCTGTGAAATGAAGAACTTCTGTCCATTGTTTACAGATGAATACTTGGACATCAGTACCACCCAGGGCCAGATAAGTACCACTCTGATCAAAGATGAGGGACTTCACCTAAAAAAGGGAAAGGCACAGAAAATAGGTTTCTAGAAGCAAAGCATGATTATATTCATATGATCTAGATTCCAGGACATTTCCGAGACAATTTACGTTGATTAAATCTACCCAGCCAATTCAAACAAGTAAAGAGAACGTGCCATAAATTGCCACTTTAGAGGATAAGGGATCCTTGAAATAACTGTCTCTGTTATAAATCCTACATTCTGAAATAGTTTGCCTTCCCAATGTCAGGAATGGTGCGCCTTCCCTATTGATGTTCAGGAAATACTGCTCTTCTGCAGATCCTTCCTGGAATAAATGTTAGTCTATGTCATGACTAAACTAGCCAGTGATAATTTGGGAACTAATGATTTTTTGTTACTGTTTTGATTGTTTTTGTATTGTATTACAATGTAAGCCACCTAGAAGTTGTAGTTTCAGGATGAACACATTTCAGAAGAAACCAAGCTTTCACATAGAGGCAACAGGTTTGTCCCATTCCAAGGAAGGGATTCCACAGCTTTAAAAGGAGCTAGCTGGAATCTGTCGGAAGTGGTATATTAAAATAAAGAGGATTCTAAAATACTGAACTGACAAACAAAATACAAGCAGGCAAACCTCAAAGTTATTATCCAACTGCAGCGTCTTGAAATTCTTCAGCTTGCGGAGATCCCAGAGTTTGACTGAGGAATCATCAGCAGCAGTGGCCAAGTAGTAGCCATTCTCAGAGAAGGCAATGCTAGTAATGGGACCAGAGTGTCCAGGGAAGTTTGCGACATTAGTCCGTTCCTGAGGAAAGCAAGTAATTAGTGGATATTAGAGTGATGTTGTATCCTCCAAAGAAATGCAACTCATGTCTCTTCTCTGCCTTCACCATGAACAGAGACGTGTTCATTCTCCATTCCATAATATTCTTGTATAATGTTTTGAGCTCAAGTTAACATTGACAGCAAAACCTAGGAGGATAGATATTTCAGACAGAACAGATTTCACGAGACTAAAAAACTGTTTGAAGGAGAATGAAATGAGCCTTTAGATTTCATTATAGTTACTAATGTTTTCCTAGAATACTTTACATACCCATTTAGATACCTTAAAAAAACCAATAAATATATAAACATAATTGTTGCACATATCTTTCAATTATTTGACACTTTAAGTCTTCTCCTCCAACAAAGAAGAGGCCAAGGAGAGTTCCATGCTCTTCAAGATTAGCATAATAACCTTCCCAATACTGGTATATAACAACAACCATATCTACTTATTCACAAAAGCATTAACCAACTAACTAAATCAGTAACGATCTAGCTCTAGTTAAGATACTGATGTACTAAATATTCCATTTCTCGTGCAAAACCTCTAAAAAGATAAGAATACTTTAGAATATGCACGGTCAATGTCAGCAAATCCTTAATAATCAGCCTTGCAAAGTAAAACATTCCAACACTGTCACATTAGAAGCTAATTCTCACCTTTAAGTCCCAGATTTTAATCTGGGAGTCCATTGTTCCTGTCCCAAAAATAAGCCCATCAGGATGGAACTGGGCACAGGTGAGAGCTGCAGGAAAGAATTTTGGATCACCGCCTAAGTGAGGAAGCTCCAACCAGCTTCTCCCCTCCCCCACGTCCAATACATTGAGACCACACTCATTCAAACCTGTCTCACAGCATACTCAATTTAGATTCTAAATGCAAAATCCATACCACAGCCAGAAGTTTCGTCTGTGACCTTGGTGAGAACACGGCCAGTCTGGATGTCAGAGAAAGCCCAATACTATAAAAAGTAAATATTGAGGTTGCATATAAATAGTTGGCTTCAGAAGATCATAACTTTATTATATTGAATTCTTGTTTTTCTTTTAAATCTAGCCTAAAAGATCCTCTGGATTCACTCTCACCTGGTCATCAGAAGAGCTCAAAAGATAATCGCCAGTTGCATGAAGACTCAGCCCTGTGACAGCACTTTCATGGGCTCGTACAACCTGCACACAGGAAGTGCCAGACACTGACCAAATCCGGATAGTAGCATCTGGAGATGCTGAGAACACCAGTTCCTGGAGGGCAAAAAGAAGTCCGACTCCTTAAATACCAATTCTGTAAGACTACATGTAAACCTGGTAAGCCTGATTCCTTCAACAAATGTATGAGAAAACCTCATAAGAGATTCTCTCACAGAAAGACTGCAGAAAATCAAGAACTTTTACCTGAGATGGATGGAACACTACGCTGGTGACCTTCTTTGTGTGACCTTTCAGGGTGGCCAGGATCTGTTCTGAACTCTTGTCAAAGACAACAACATTTTTATCAGCCCCACCTGCAAACAAGACAAAGATCAGAAACCAGAGCAGCTCAACAACAGAATTTACTAACAGAAAGCATTCTTCAGTGGTTCACTTAAAGTATGTATTAATGGCGTAATATTACAATAACATTATGACTGCAGCTTCATGGAAACTAATTTCAGCAATGTGAAATGTGGAATGTAAGCTACTGTCCTTTCCAAAATACACTTAGACCAAAAAATAGAATTTTGGGGAAAAAAGAAAACAGATATCTAAACATACCTGTGAGGATCTTGTTGCTGTCAGAAGGACACAGATCAAGAGCAAGGATGCCAGGAATACTGGCACTGTGCAATCCCTGTTTAAAAACACAAAGTATTGCAATTAGCATTACAAGCCTTCTCATTTTATTCAATGACCACCAAGCGACATGAGGAAACTTTTACAAAAGGTGGGTGTCTCTGTATATATGTGAGGTGTGGGGGTATGTTGGTGTGTGCGTAGTCCATATTTTGTTTGTTGTTGGATATTTGGTGGATAAAAATGTACTGGTAAACTGGAGATACAAAGGAAGCATGCACATACAAGAAATTCTGTATTTTCGAAAGACCCAAGAGTATATAATCTCTCAGACATTCCAGAGTACAGCAATATTTAAAATGTAAAAAACTATCATTAACTAAATGTGCTCCCATCAGGCAGCAATGAGGAAATTCAGCAGCATTGTTAAAGAAGTTTAAGAATCTTCAGAACTCTTAAGATAACTTTCTCAATTGACCATATATTTACCACATGTGAAGCCACCTGCCGGTATCTATTAAGTTCTTCTGGTTTCACCAGTTCCTCTGGCACAGTCTTCCCCCTCTGCAAAAAAGAAAACAAAATTCATCCACTAAGAACACAAACTACCTAAGACAAGCAATCAGATCTCTTGGTTCTGCTGCTAAGAGAATTGTTATGCACATCCCAGAATCACCCAATTCCACACCCATTTAATAAAAAGGGGCACTTGCCTTTTTGCGCTCTGTGGTCAGCACTGTGGCTTTGTCTTGAAGCTGCAAGGCAGAAAAACATTAGAAAAACTAGAAAAAACTATGCCATGATAGTGCCTGAAATTATATTACATACTCAAAGTGGTTCAAAGCACATGTTTTTGCACATCCCTACTACAGAAATGTCACAGTGATTTCTATATTTAACAGCTCAGGCCAATCTATTATAACTGTTTATCTGTAGTTCTGAACCCAAAACATTTCTTACTTTCTGGATAATTTCTGGGGTCATTCCTGCCAACTCTCCTAGATCCATTGGTTCACCAGCACCCTGGAAAAGGAACAAACAAATCGTTTTAGTTGAGAGAAAGATACAGCGTGAAGAAAATAATGTAATTATGTGAAACATACCATAGGATTTGGTTGTGAAGAGGGTATAGCTTGGGGAATAATGAGGCCAGCCTGGGGTTTCAGAGTTGCCAAAGCTGTGAAGAAGGAGATGATTTGGCATGTTTAACACACTTGGCATAATGGGGTCTCTTCTTGCACACCATTAAAATATATATATATATAAATTCTGTGCTGTACCTTCTCTTGCAGCAGTCACCTCTTTGGTGAGACGAGCAATGACACGGCACGCAGCATCATGTTGGTATAGTGCATGAGAAAGTTCCTGGCGTGTAGTCTGGAGCTGCTGGCGCAAAGTGAAACTGTGTAGCATGACAGCATCCTGAAGGAAGTAATTCAGTACATTAATATTGTATGTGAAGATACCTGGACATGCTGGCTTAGTGAATATCTCTGAACACATAGCATGACATCATATGCAGTCCATTAATTTCTGCCTTGCTTTTCCCACTCTCGTCAATAGGAAAAATAAAATGAAAATGGATAGCTTTCATGGCATCTGAAATCAGCGTACTGATTTTTCCGACTCCCTTGTTCTAAGAGCACAAAATCTGATTGTTGATGTTACATGAGTGGCAGAACTTACTCACAATAAAATAAGAATTCTGGATTACTGTATTAATATGTATATATATATATGTATATGTATATTTATATACCCATTCATCTTGTAGTGCCTTCAGGATAGCTGGAATACTGGTAGCAGAAGGAGGCTTAGGCCGAATTGGGTGGGCAACTGTGAATGAAACATATACAAGCATTAATTCTAGCCAACCCCCAATAGTTACCCTCACAAGTTTTTAAACCAGGAGTGTCAAACTCATGTCATCACAGTGGTGTCACGTGATGTATTACAACTTTTTTCCTTCGTTAAACCGGGTGTGGGCATGGCCACTGCGTGACTCATCTGGCCAACAGGCCGCAAGTTTGACAGCCCTGCTTTAAACCATGGCTAGGACAGTTTTGTCAGTTTTAATTTTACTGTATTGTTTAATTTTGCCTATTTTTGCGGGTGGGTTTTCAGTGTGATCCAGCTGAAGGTAGAATTGAAGACTATGGATAGCACTAGAAAAACAAAGAGGCTGCATGCATGCCTTGCGATTTTGAAACCCAAGAAGCTGGAAAAAGTTGTAGAAGGGACATGTTTTATAAAAAATCTGACCACACACATTGATATAATTGAAGTTGGAGACAAACGTTCAAACAAATCAGACAGAAAAAGCAACATGGAAACAATGGACAAAGTAAAAACTGAGAAAATGCAAACAGAAAGATAGGTGGGATTTCTGATTGAAATGCTGGATATAGTCAAGACTTTAGTTAGGGGATGGGCAGCATATAATTTAATAAATATGATTTATATATGTAGCACTTTTTTGAAATTGTTCTAAATGGATATGTTCAACAATCCTTTCCTTATACTTGGCCTTGATATTTTGGAATAATTTTATATCTCACTATAAATTAACAAATATTTTCAAGACTTCCCTACAAGATTGATTTCCAGTCAGGTTAGGTATTCCGTATTCAACAAACTAATTCTCCTGATCATCCTTACCTTTGATATCTAGCAGCTGTTCCTCAGACAGTGGCTGGTTATTCACTGGATCCGTCCCATTCTCTGCAATATATTTTTCAATTAGTCTTCGTTCATAAACATGGTTTGAGACTGGAGACAGACAAGGATGTTCTGGTACCTCATTAGAAACTGCAAGAAAAAAGGTGTAGAAAAAAGATCATTAAAACAAACATCTTCTGTAAACCAAGTTAAACTGTCTTTAAAGATAAATAGGAATAACAGCAGGACCCCCCACAATATGGACCTTCACAAAATGGTTACAAACAAGTAATATTCAATTAGAATATGAAGTCCCAAAAGAAGATGAACAAAATGTTGATTTAATAATATCTTTAAAAAATCAGTAGTCAGCAATGTTATTTATGCAAATCAGATTCACAGGCATTTCTCAAGGCCCATATTGTAATTTGCATTTTATACAATTATAAGTGTAATCCAACAAACTAAGAACATAACTGGAAGGAAAATTTAGAAATGTTCTATTAACAAGATAGAGAAAAAAAATAAAAATAAAATAGATGAAATGTGATAGCGACAAATGTAAATGTCTTCATTGGGGAAAAACAGTTATAGAATGTGGGATATCTAGTTGACAGCAGTATTTGTGAAAAAGATCTGTTAATCATAAGCTAAATACAGGTATGAGCAAGGAAAAATCATGTAGTTGTCAAAAACTGAATGCAAGTCTGTTTTGATGGTAATTTCAAATTAGGTCATTACATTGATTCAGGTAGCTCTAAAATATTGTGTTTGTAGACCCAAAAAAACAAAAAATTCAAAGTAAATGACATGGATAGAGAGAAGGACAAGAAGGATATCAGAGAAGCAGAAATGCTTAGGAGACACTAAAGGAACTGGATATATTTACATTTGGTGGGGGGGGGGATGAATGAGTGGAATAAGATATTTTTCAAGTATTTGAAATGGTTTAATACAAGTCAAGAACTGATGCCTATCATTCCAAAATGCAGGACAAAGAAGCGGCAGAAAGGCAGATCCTAGCTGAGCAGATGAACACCTGAACTAATTACTTAAGAGAGGCACTGGCTCCTCTTTACTGGATGTATACTAACTAGAGCTCGGCGGGATTGAAATTTTCTGTGTGGGAGATGAATGGTTCAAAAAATGTGATGAATATAAAATTCCTGCACTGAGCAGATGGCTGGCCTTGACAGCTTCTTCCACTTCTATATGGATTAGGCAGTTGCACAGTTCATTATAACCAAACTCAGTTTCTGCTTCTAGCACATCCCGTTATTTATAAAAAAAATCTGATCAACTAAAAAAAGCTCCCCAAGATGTACAATCGAGCCGTATAAACTATCTTCCTCTAATAACTGTTCAGTGACCAGGTACCAAATTGTGAAGAAGGGTCCCCCCTCTAACGTTTTAACGGACTGTTGAATCCATTCTTTGGTGTCCTGCCTTCTGGAGAAGGAAAAGAGAGAGAAGGGCTTTTTTCCTCCTCTGACCACCTCTAGCCCCTACCGAGCTGCCTGCAGTTGGCTGGAAACATTACAACCCCTCAGACCTCTCAATATTGGAAACTGGCACAGTTAACCGCCAAACAGCTGCGGCTGTTAAAAGGGGAGCCCCTCTTCTCGAGCCTTCCCCCTCCATGTGAGGCCGCAGCTGTGCGGGAAGAACGAGAGCCGAGGAGAAAGCGGGTCACTCACTGGAGCATATGAGGGACATGGCGCGCAGGATAAGCCCCCTAGGGCTACTGTAATGGTGTAATCCCTCGGTTTAATCCTTGAGGCGGCTTCGGGGCCACGAAGGCCGAGGAGGAGAAGGAAGGTTCGGCTATCTGTAGTCCGCTTCAGCCTTCTTCTTTTTAAAAAAAAAACAAAAAAACGCCACCACGCCACAGGCCACGAAACGCGCGCAAACCTCCAGCAAGAGGCCGGAAACGGAATCTCTCCACTTGCTCACGCCCCGCTAGCGGCACAACCCCCGCAGCGTCACCTAACCGTCCGGAGAACACTATCTATTTCCGGATCCGGAGGACCCTGGGAAAAAAAAACTACCATTCCCGTCATGCACTTGCTGGGCATAAGGCGGGTCTCGAAATATACTGTAGTAATTAAAAAGTAGATTTATTCAACGAGTTGCCAACTTCCGGGAATAGGAAAGAATGGAGAATACAAAAACCGAAGTCCACCTATGTAATGTACCTAGTCAGCCTTGGAAAATAGCAAAAGTAATCAAATTACTTTTCATATGAACATTAGATGACTTCGAATGACTTGGAATTATGGCCCTTCGCTGTGTTTAAGGAGGATTGTTGGTGATAGACCATAAACGCCCATAGTATTCCCAATTCGGAGGCAGAAATTGCCATAAACAGGTGAATAGTTAGGCGACAACAGCACTTTGGGGACTGATCATTTTCAACTTTCATCGCCTCCTTAGAAATATTTGGAAGCATTCCAAAGTTGTGAGTGCTTAGGGTGCGCAGATACTTTATTTTCCGTTGCTCTTTTTCATTTACTACAAATGCCTTACGTCACTTCACTCATTGCGGTACCATGCACCCATAATCATCGCAAATCAAATGCAAATAATAAAAAGAACCATCGTGTACCAGATACAACAATCAAAACCTATCAATCTCCGGCCACTTTCTCGCTATCCGCCCTTCGGGTAAGTTTTCACAAACTTTCCATAACGACAGGGTAGGCGCAGCTCTTATTGATGAAAGGAAAGCACTCCGTAGGAGGAGCGCTCCCCCAGGTAAATTTAAAAGAGATTGCGTGTATTATATCTTCCAAAATAAATAACTACTGGAATACAATTCTGAGCATGCTCCGGACTAGGATTTAAAGCGCCTTCCGATACTGCCAGGACTGCATTTCCCAGAAAGTAGCTGGACTTGGAGGCTGGGGCTATTTTTGAATTTCCCCCGAGGGAGAGAGAGAGAGAGAGAGAGAAATTGTCCATACAGCTGGAGCTGCCGGTCCACTCCTTTTCTTTAAACTCTGGACAAAGTAAGTACCCACCCAACTTTTCTCCTCAGCCGCGTCCCGAAGTTGCGGCTCGTCTCACCTTTCCCTCTCGCACGGGATCTTCCTTAGATGCAGCTCACCTGAAGTTTTTGGAAGGAGAAGCAGCTTTTCGCTTTCAGAACAAAGAGATGTGGAGGGAATCACCTTCTACAGCTCACGAAGGTTCTTGCGGGAAAATGTGTGGCTTTCCCGAAGGTTGTGATTGAGCCGAGAAATGAATTTAGAAAAAGAATCGGATCTTGTTCAACTTTCTGGGAAAAAATGTGGCGGTGGAAAACGGCGTGGATTTTACACACAGGTCCTGAGTTTGGTTATGTTTGTTCTTACGTTTCTGGAAACAGGCTATATGAGACAGAGACACCAAGAGTGCATAGAAGATGAATTTGGCTTGTAACTTTCTCTTTATTTGGAGTAGAGTTTTTAAAATAAGTCTATATTCGGTAAGTTTGCCTAGAGTAGGTAAAATCTAGTTGTAGAGTTGTAAGCTTTTCCAAAGCAGACTTCAGGCGTATGAAATCTGGTTGGTTTTCTGGATGAATCTGGAAATTCTGACTTACTGAGGCTTTGAAGCAAAGCAGCAGTTTGTGTAAGGGAACATTGGTTGCAGCGTGGAGTGCTTCTGAGTACAGTCTGAACAGTGGACTTGATTGTGAATGCCAACAGTTTCACATCCTTTGACTCCTCTTTTTTTTTTCCTAATGGGGAGAGGAGGTTTGCTGGGGAGATACCATAATTGTGGAGCAGTAGAAAATGATAATACAATCAGCATTTGCATTTATCACTGGCTGTGCAATTTCATCTTCTCTAAGCAATAAGTAATAATCTACATTGTTCATAGTAACACCATACTGGCTGTAAAGCACTCTGTGGAACTAATGTTTAAAATCATCTGAAATTTCCAATGAGCGTAAACAGTTGCAGCTTGGCAGCTCTCTAGTGTTATGACACCTAAGCAGACTGATTGCAGCTTAGTGGCCAATTGCTTATTGAGCACAGTTGAAGGTGTCAGTATTAACTGAGGGGGGAGGAGAGAGAGAGAGAGAGAGAGAGATGCAAATAATTACTGATATTCTATATTGCTTGTGATTTATTGATAAGAATGCAGCTAATTCCAGACAAGCACAGGAAGGGAATCCCATATTCTTCAGTCATGACTGATTTTTAGTGTGCCGCTAGGATGGCCAGTATGTCAAGGAAAATAGAAGTACCATAGTTGTTTAACATCCAAAGGAAGACAGGTTTGTCCCATGGAGAGAAATATTCTTGTATTCATGTATGGACTGCACCAGTAGAGGCTAAACCAATTTCGTTGTATACATGATGTACAATGACAATAAAGGCTTTGAACAGTTAAAAATATATACTTTATCTTAATGAATCTGCTCTTTATCATACTTGCAGAAAGACTGGGTGTGAAGACAAACACTGAAAAGATGGTTGGAAAGAAACTTAACTTATGGAATTGCCACAAGGTGATGCTTGCCTCATCTTTGGGCATCATTGTATTGCTGTCTCTCATGAACACCTGTTTCGCCCATGCCCAACACTACCAAACTTCATCTTGGGAAAAGAAGCGTGTGGAACCTGACTTTTTATCTGAAGTGACTCGTTCTGTAAGGAAGACACTGGAGAATTTGGTTGGTAAAGAGAACTTTCTGATGTTGAATGAGGTATGACAGCAATGCTATTCTTATTTTTATATATGTGTGGAAAATAAGTCACATACTAATGAATTGAGTGACACAATTTGGGAAAATATATAATTATATAGTTTTCCAGGAAATTATCTAGAGATAGAGCACTTAATCATGCTGTTAAACAAAAACTTTGTCTACCAATAGCTAGTATATAAGACATCCATAACCTTCAAGTTGATTTTCCAGTCTTTTCAGTTTTTCATATGGTAGGAAGTATTCCAATATATTATCTTCTGAGCACTATTCAGGATTGATTTGCATCCCACATTTGTTTTTTAAGTAGGATTCTTGGCTCAAAACAGCCCAGCTTTTCTTTACACAAATATACAAAAGGATCTAGGAAATGTCTTGTATTGCAGTTTTGGTTAGCTGATTGCAATCTATGAAAATTCTTGATGTTCTCCCCCCTCCCCCCACCAAGTGATGCTATGTAATAGCTTGCAAATAATATTCCATTCAATATTATATTTGCAAAGAGTTAACATAACCATAATCAGATTTAATATAAGTTAGTTTATAAATTAATCTTATTTCTGCAATCAGATTCTCCTTCTCCTGCAATTCTTTTCTCTCTCCCGCCCACCATCAAATCTTTTCCTTGAATCTTTACCCTCATATTTGCCCCACAATTGCCCATCCATTCTTTAGGACACATTTTGTAAGTGTAAGTGTACCCTAGATGTGGAAGAAAAATTACTCTCCATGTTATTCCTGGAAATATTTGTTTGTTTGTGTGTGTGTGTGTGTGTGTGTGTGTGTGTTTGAGTCAGTCTTGATCCCTGGAGCCTGCCTGGAAAAGTCCCTGCAGTTTTCTTGGGAAGATTTCAGAAGTGGTTTCTTCTCTATTCAAAGGGATTCTAAACAGCTTATTCGGTGTAATATAATGACAAACTAATGGATGGAAAGAAAATATAAATTGATTTGTTTCCTCACATGAATGACAATTACAAATTCCTACGCATTTCAGATATAAACCATTTTCTGAATGTCAAGTCTAAATCTTCTGTTTTTTTAAAAAGAACAGATTCGCAGCTAAGTTTTCAAACATCAGACTACTGATTATGCCAAAGTATGTTCCCAATTCAGTGTAAGCTATTCCAAAGTTCAGAAGTAATGCCATAGCTGGTGACTGTATTTTGTGCAAATTACATGAAAAGATTTCCCCATAACTTTAGAATAGTATCACAAAAATTTTCTGGCTTCTTTGACACCCCCACCCCACCCCCCCTTGTTGAGAATGAGTTTACAGGGGAATTTACAGGGGAAAAACCAATGTAGAGGGAGTTCTGTGGGAACAAGGTCTCCGTTTTGCAGAATCCTTTGAGTATAAAAGTTTGTACTGGTGATCATTCATCTTTCACAGATGGTGGGAAGATGAGACTGGTGGTGAAAGCATTGCCATGCCAATAACTTCGTAAAAGCAATTTATACCTTTTTAAAGTATGCTGGCCAGGATGGAAGTCTCATCCTGGAAAGGTTTCCATTGGAATTCAGCCTATCTCTATTTCATTCTCCAATGGCTCTGATATTTTTAGTCACTGGTATCTTTCAAATCTGATACTATATCAACCAAGCAGGCCCTTAGTTTTGCGTATGATTCCTAATTCTTTTTGCCATTGCACATGTACTTTTATGCTTTCCATTTGGTTTACAGTTTTAGTCATCTGTTAAATCTGTACCTGTATCTGTACAGTTCGATTTAATCCTAACTCATTTCAGCACTGGAGGGAGCTGCAGCCCTATCATTTGCTATGTGGCTCAGGTGAAAGACCATCCCCTTTATGGTAAATCGACACATATTTATAGAATGTTTGATAAGTGCTGTCGAAAAATTCTGTGTGTATTTGCTTTCCTTGCAGAATATGTCTGCCATGCTTTGGATAGTTTCCTCTGGAATCTCTTCAGCCTTCTGTGTTGTGGCTCGAATTACAGGGCAGTTTCTTACATCCTTTGGATGGGCTGGTAAGTGACCAGGTTATTGGCCCAATGAGGAAAAAAAGATGGAAGTTAACAGAAGAGGTTAAGCATGTTGCAATCTAACAGGATATGGGACACAGTCCTATTCTTACTTTAGTCTCCCTTTCAAATGTTGTGGGATTGTCTTCCAAGTAAGCAAAGGAAGGCTTGCTATATTAAATGTGTGCCTAAACTGGATCACTACTGAATAGGAATCAGCATGGAGGAATGGTCTGCTTTTTTGCAGCAAAGGCCAGTCTGTTTTTTTTTTTAACCTTAGATTAGTAATACAGCGTGAATATTGTTCATATTCATTCAGGAAGTTATCTCACTAGTTCCTTCAAAGAAGTAAAATGGAACTCCTGGTGATCAGAAAATACTTATGTGGTTTTCATAGTGACAAGGTGAAAGTTTTTCTTCATGAGCTTCTTTTGAGATACTATTCATCTTCCTGATAGCCCTTTCTTTAACAGTTCAATCCTGGGTCGGTTTTTTTTTGAGAGAAACACAAATTGAGCCATTTAAGTTTGCTGCTAAGTATTCCCAATCCTCTTTTGGGAGCTTTTGGGATGGCCTAGCATACCATTGGTAAATCCCTTGCTGCTCGCTTGGCTGCCAATTTTTTTATGACTTTCTGCTAAACTGGGAGAAGGAAAAGCCTTTTTTCCTCCTCCCTATAGGCTTCCTTACTGACATCATTAATGCTTTTCTTTTGGAAGATATATTGCTGATCAGTATGGTTGAGAATGCTACATTGGTGTCTTTTTGCCCTCATCCATAAATGCACTTTGTCCCGAGTTGGAGGTTTGTTTTTTTTCCAATATGAAAGGTCCACTGGATTTTGGTGGAGCCAGTTTCCAAATACAGGGTGCTCAGGATGAGTCTTATGTCTTTCCTGAACTGGTATATAATGTATCTAAGAATACATTTAAATGTGAACAGGTCTATTACATAAACAGTTATCCAGAACAATGAAATTAAAGCTGACATTTGTATATCTCAAAAAAGCTGGAGTTTTGGATTATTATAAACGAGCATGATTGCTAATAATTTGATGCATCTTGGCTTGTTCTCACCACAGGAATAATAAAGTGTGCCCAGGAATCTTCATCCCTGATTTGTTTAGCATTACAGTACATCATAATTAAGATCTGTGATTAGTTGTCCCATAACAAGACAGAGTCTGAAATTAAAAACAAACATTGGCTTCCTGTTCTCGTGTAATAGGAAACCTTAGTTTTATGTTACAGTTGAAGTTTTGTTATGGGATTAGGTTTATAATATACTTGTATACTATTGGATTTAGGTCAAATTAGACTTTGGGTTCATTAAGCCTTTTGGTTTAAGTTGTTGTTGTTGTAGTAGTGAAGTTGTGTCCAACGTATCGCAACCCCATGGACAACATTCCTGTCCTCTACCATCCCCTGGAGTTCATTTAAGCTCACGCCAACTGCTTCAGTGACTCCATCCAGCCACTTCATTCTCTGTTGTCCCCTTCTTCTATTGCCCTCAATTGTTCCCAGCATTAGGCTCTTCTCCAGTGAGTCCTTCCTTCTCATTAGATGGCCAAAGTATTTGAGTTTCATCTTTAGGATCTGGCCTTCTAAAGAGCAGGCAGGGTTGATCTCCTCTAGGACTAACCGGTTTGATCGTTTTGCAGTCCAAGGGACTTGTAGGAGTCTTCTCCAGTACCGTAGTTCAAAGGCCTCAATTCTTATGGTCCAACTTTCATAGTCATACATTCAGGGGTGGGCTGCTACCGGTTCTCCCTGGTTCGGGCAAGCCAGTAGCTAATTTTATGGCTGGTTCAGCGCACTGGCAAATCCCACCCCTGTCTCACCCTGCCTCTCCCAGGAGTCCCCATGCAATACGTTTTGGATCTCTGGTAAGTACAGGGCCTGCACAGAGGCTCAGAGAGGGCGAAAAATGGGCCTCCCGGAGGCTCTGGAATGCCGGAAACAGCCCCGTTTCCAGCCTCCGGAGAGCCTCCAAAGCCCGGGGAAGCCATTTTTGCCATCCTGATGAAAGCCTCCAGAGCCCAGGGAGGGCAAAAAACTTCTGGAAGTTCCAGAAGGCCAGAAACGGGCCAGTTTCCAGCCTCCAGAGGACCTCCGGAGTCCAGGGAGGCCATTTTTGCCCTCCTGGAGGCTCAAGAAAAGCCTCCAGAGCCCACACCGCTCCCCCCCACCCACCGTGGTACAGGAGGCTGACTAGGTCATGCCCACATGCCATGCCCACATAGCACCTGGGCAGAGAACAGGTTGCTAAAATTTTTGAAGCCCATCCCTGCATACATTGCAACTGGAAAAACCATGGCCTTGACTATACACACTTTTGTTGGCAGGATGAAGTCTCTGCTTTTTAGTGGATAAAATTAGCACTAAAGTAAGTGTCTGAGAGCACTGTTTTAATGTCTTAGATTTAGATTAGAGTTGAAGTTATTTTTAGAAACTCGGTTTACAGTATATATTTGCATTGGAACTATAGTGAACTTAAAGTTTGGAATATTTAAGGTTTAAGATTATAATGTAATGTCAGTGTTAATATAAGGGCCAGGGTTAGCATTTTTATGGGTAGGTGTAATTGTCATAGTCCTATTATGTAGCTCCTTTGTGGCAGTGGCAGGATGTTTCTGGCAGGGATGACTAAAAAATTCTGGAATGTACCAGGAATATTTTCTTCCAGGCAGGTCACCCAAGACATAGTGATCATGCTTGCTACCCAAGAGATAATATCAAAATCCTGAATGAGGGTCTGAAGGTTGGGACTGAATGAAGTGGAACAGACTCACCGTCATTCTTAACACAGGTCAATTAGTCTTGGTCTTAGATAGGATTGAACTTTCACAAGACGGTTGTGCTATCTAGGGGCTGCCCTGAACTTACAGCTGGGAATCGAGCAGCCTCTAAATAAATAAGTAGATAAAAATAAGCAGACACCTATATTGGAATGTGGATGACAGATGGAAACTTTAGGACAGCAACAAAGGCATCATTTCATATTAGAGTATGCAGGAGAAGGCAATAGTAAATCACTCCTGTATTTTTTTAACAAGAAAATCACATGGCTAGACAATACAAAGTGATTGATAATATAGTCCTGGAAGATGGCTTCTCAGGTCAGATGTTATTCAACATGCTACACAGTACAAAGAAATTGAATTGATTATATTTTTGAGTCAAAAAGGTGAAAGAGTTCAGTTATAACAGCAAAGATATGGCCAGAGAATGACTGAAACAGATTGTGAACTGCTCGTGCTTAAAATTCAAGTAAATAAAATGGAAGAACAAAGCCAACTGGTTTCTATGATATGTTCTTGAACATAAGCTCATCATTTTCAAGAATCCCAGGAATCTCTTTAATGTCCTGGATTTTCACTGATAGGGAACTAGAGAAGCTGTGGAATGAAATCAAGTAAGTTGCTGGGGTAAATGTGAAAAGAAGCTGCCAAAGATGGAAAACAGAAGAAACCAGTGTCAAAACAATAAAACTAACAAGATGCCAAAGCTAATAAAGACATTACTGTATCTCAGAACAAACTTAACAGCTGGTAGAAGATACAAAAAATAATCTTACAACATTTGTGAAGAGATTAAAGATTGAAATAGATAGGCAAAAACAAGGAAAGTCTTGATCTCTAAATGCAGGAGATTCCAACCATGAACTGGTATGATGTAGTACTTACTGTGCCTTTAATTTTTAACTATAGTCCTTGATGACTGGAACGCTAATCTTAACACTAGCTTAATCTTATCTCCCATGCAAATATATGCTGTAAAACCCAGAACAATACTGCTATTGTAGGCTTAACCTCAACCCCAATGAGACTGAGTTACTGTGGCCTTTTTGGAACACCCTCTCCCAGGGCAGGGGATGTTTTGTCTTTAATCTATATGGGATTACACTTTTTCTTTTGGGACTGGTATGCAAGTTGGGGGGTCTTGTGGGGCTCCTGCTCAATATTGTGTTTGTTGAGCAAGTAGAAATTATGGCTAAGAAGGCCTTTCAACAATTCCATCTTGTGTGCCAATTGTGACCTTACTTGGACCAGGAGACCCTTTAGACCCCACAATTTGGTTACCTCACATATGAACTACCACAATGTATATGGGGCTGCTCTTAGAAACTATTTGAAGTTGCAGCAGGTTTAGAATGTGGTGGCATAAGCAATTATGGGCATAACTTATAAATCTGTGTAACAGCTTTCCTCCTTGAGTTGTACTGATTGTCAGTAGGCTTCAGGATACATTTCAAGGTGCTGGTTATTACCTGTAAACCCTCCATGGCATAGAGGCTTGTTATCAAAAGACCATCTGCCTTTGGTGACCTCTGCCCAGCCTGTATGATTGGACAGAGTTGCCATGCTGAAGATCCCATCCACAAAGCAGTGTCATTTGATAAGACCCAGGAAGTGTATGTTGTCTGTTCCTGCACCATTTCCACCCACCCACCCAGGAGTTATCTGGCTCCCACCATGCCCATGTTCCAAAGAGTTCTGAAAACATGACTCTTTTCCAGGCTTTTGGTTAGAGTAAGAGGTTGGTCTTGTATGTTTGATCGCCTTTCAGTGGTCGTCTATCAGTGTTTAAAAATATATTGTATGATTATTTTTACCGTATGCCACCCAGATATGTGATAGTTCCCTAGTCCTTACACATTTCAAAAATGAACTCATATAAATCTTAAGACTTGTTCAAACATGAGGTTAATCATTCCATTGATTGAAATTTCCTTGAGTGTTTCTGTCAGTGCTGAGAGGAGAGCAAAAAGATGCCCCACCCTCCTTGTTCTCAGTGAACCAGAGAAGGAGCCCAAAGCTTAATAGACAAACAAAGATTTATGGCCATAAAACATGCCAAAGTGCCCACCTGCTGCTCTGTGTATGAGCTACACTGGGACTTCCGGTTTGCTCCTCGTCGGAGTCGGAGCGCAATCCACAATCATGCACAGTTTTGCCCAAGCTCACTTGTTGGAGGGTCCCGATCAGGACCAGAACCACCCTGGTGGGGTGGTGAAGAAGGGGGAAATTGCCTGGAGGGTCGAGGGGAATTGCAACTCCCCTCCCTGACAGGAAAATCCCTCCCAAAGGCAAGCTGCAGCAGTGGTCCTAAAATGGCCACCACGAAGACAACACTCCGGGAAACTAAGTTTTGTGCTGGAGCAGAGAAGTAGCGAGCAGAGTGTGAACCAGACAAAGGACATCACTTTTGAGGTACCCCGGTATTAAAATAAAGGGCTATCTTGGATTGAAGTGTGTGGAAGCAGCAACCAGAGAACGTGAGAAAGAAATTGGATCTTATAAAACTTGGATTGGATTAATTTGGAGGAGAAAATTTAAAGGAAAATACTTTAACACAACAAAGGTTTAGAAATTAAACAGGATAACTATTGAATTATGGACCCTTAAAGGCATAATTAAATGCTGAAATTGAGTGTGTTGAAAAGAAAAGAAATAATAGCTAATGATTGAAATTAGCGAACTTAATAAAAGTATTATATTCAATAGAGAAAGTTAAAGGTAAAAAGACTCGAGAGCGCCACCTGATGGTACAGGAAAACTTCAGTACGTTTTAAAAAGTGTCTGGTCTTCTCAAGAATTTGGAATTTGGAAGTTAAAGGAAAATAAAATAAACTTTATTATTGTTATAGAACCATCCAACCAAAAACTCAAGAGTATGGATTGTTGAAAATAAATTCAAAAGATATTGGCTGAAATAATATACTGGGCTCTGGGATTGAATATATCTATTAAAGAAGAGGATTTTAACTATTAAGGAAGAGGAAAGAAAAGGAAAAAAGGAGAAGATATAATGGGGAAACTATTTGTTGATATAAGATTGGACTTACAAGAGTCAAGATTGGATTTGCAAGATATAAGGGACATGATAAAAATTAAACTTGAAATGTGCATTTATGTACTACAGAAATTAGCAATGGTGACTCAGCATACACAAGAACAAAATAAACCAGAGCGGGAGTTCTATAAAGAAAAAGCCAACATTGAAGGACAAAATGAACAACAATTATTTAAGCAGGGGGGAAAGGAATTAGAATTAAAAATTTGTGGTCTGATGGGATGATAAAAGGGAGAATGGTTCGGAAAACGGACAAAGGGAGAGGGAAAAAGCAGGAAAAGGAAGGGCAAAAGAAAAATCAAAAGAGGGAGAGAGAAAAGTTTAATAACTGGAATGAGAAATGGAGGGGAATAAGAATGGGAAAAAAGGGAATTAAGAGAAAGGACCAGAAAACAAAGAGGAATAGGAAACAAACAAGGATGAAAAGGAAGTACATTGTCCAAAGAGTGAGAGATAATGGGTGAAAAAAGAAGAAGCACACCTTGCTTATCCCAAAAAACAGTCGCCATAATCTTCCTTGCAGAGAACATTTGCAAACATTTTCTTGGTTTTTGGGGGGAGTTTGTGTGCCCCCACTGCATAGACTGCAATTTGGTCTCGCTGCTCACATGTTTGACCCAAGTCTCATCTCCAGTTATGATTCGATCAAGAAATGAATCTCCATCTTTGTCGTAAGAGTACAGAAATGTCAATGATGCAGCCATACACTGATTCTTGTGGTTTTCTGACGGGATTTTTGGCACCCATCTTGCACAAAATTTGTGGTAGCCTAGCTTTTGTGTAACAATTTCATGCAACAAACTGCGTGAAATTTGTGGAAAACTAAGTGAAAGTTCCGTTACTGTGAAACGGCGGTTTTCACGAATCTTGTCATCGACTTTCGCGACCAGTTCATCAGTCACAATGCTCGGATATCCACTCCGCTGTTCATCATGAACTTTAGTTCGGCCATTTTTAAACTTAATGTACCACTGGCGCACTCCACCTTCAGTGATGATGTTGTCCCCGTACACTTCACACAGTTGCTGAAAAATTTCAATCGGTTTATGGGTTTCTGCCAACAAAAACCTTATCACTGATCGCACCTCACAACTCGCGGGATTTTCAATTGCAGCACACATTTCAAACGTTTGCTGTGAAATAATGGGCAACAATACGAACCTCCCACTAGCACGACTAGATGCAGACTGAGCAGCGGACACACAGACCAAAGATGGCCCTGCTAGCTCCGCCCCTTCTTGCTACAGACGAAAACGTAATCTATTTTGTGGATAGCCCTCGTATAAGAATATATTGAAAATAGTACGGTATTTTGTAATGTATAGATGATTTGTAAGGTGTTTGAGAAAATATAATGTGGAATCTGAGAAAAATATATATATTTGTGTTATATACTAGATAAGGAGATTGATATGAAGGTAGAATGAAGGTAGTTAGTTCAAATTGTTAACCAGAGGGGACAATTATATTTACAGATAAGGATTGATAAAATGACAAATGTGACAGAAAAAAGTAATATGAGAAATGACAACAGAAATGAGATGAGAATTTTAGATAACATTGTAAAATAAGATATGAGAATGTATTAATATAACATGAATTGGAATTGGATAAGATAAGGTTAATATTTAACAATAATAAGGATGATGCAATATGAAACTAAACAAATATAATGAACAGGTAACTATGGTCATGTTTGTATTGAGATGTGAAACTTGGAACCACACTGCTTGCCAAATGATAATTTTTTATTTTAAAAAATAAAATAAAAGCAGGGAGAAAATTGAATAATGGAATTACTAGGTATGTTTAACTGATATGGTGGTAGGCATTTGGAGAGAGTTTTGAAAGGTTGAATATAAGCATTGAAGGATTATGAATTAATGTGAAATATATGCATTGCGAGATATGATTGATATTATTAACTTTGCCTATACTAAAATGTATGATATATTGATGCCACGCTATTAATGTATTGTGCATATGCAGATTGAAATAAATTTTTTTTTGAAAAGGAATTAATGAGTTATACCATGAGGTAAAAAAGGAGGAGTTTGTTTGAGCTGTAATAATATTTAACACGTTGAGTGTAGTTGTTCTTTGTAAGTAGCTAGTGAGTTTCTTTCCTGTATGTGGTAACACTTCCTTCTAAACTACCATAGATGTAGATTTATCCTAGTTGAAAATTTGACTTAATTCACCTGGGGTACCATATGGGGAAGGCTGTTATAGTGATACATTGGACTGATTATATTGCTTTTTTTTTCTTTTGTGTTTCAGGAGATGGATTAACACAGTTTCTGAAGCTGAGCCCTGAGCAGGTTCAGGCGTTGCTGCTCTGGAGCCTGGCTGCCCTGATTAGCTATTGGGTGCTCTGGCTGCTGTTCAGCCTGTTGTTCATTATCTTAAGCCGCATCATGTGGGGCCTCAAGCTGGTTCTCTTTGGAGGCTGCTTTGCATTTATTGTGTTTACTGTGCCTGACCATTCAGTACAGATTTTACTTCTATTGGCCTTGCTAACTTTCTATGTTTTGCTGGGTTGGTTGAGTGGATCCTATCGCTCTGATGCACGGCTGGAGGCTAAAGTGCACAACTTGGAGCGCCTAGTGGAGGAACTGCAACAGCGGCAGAAGCGGTCTCCCAGATACCTGGATGAAGAATAAATTTCAGGCGGGGGGCTTTCCACATTTACCCATCTTGTCCAAGAAGCAACTACATTTCTCTCTTTCTTTATCACCTATTTTACTTCTTTTTCAGTCTGTACATATTCCTGGATGGTATCATTTCGCCCACCTCTATTTAGGACAGAAGTCCTCCCTAAAAAAATGATTGCACCTGACATACGATAGCTTCTCAGTTGGTAGTAACATTTAGAAAAGCTCTTTCCCTACTATTGTTTTGTTGTTTTCATCCCCCTTTTTAGGCCCCGTTTTTCCCACTCTGTTTTTCGTGGCAGCTGTTGGCTTCTTTAAAGACAACGGACCTGATAATGAAAAATGCTTATAACTTAAAAGAAAATAAAAAACAGAATTTCATGACTGGGGATATGAGAATGGGTCCTTGGATATGATTATTCTACACTATCATGCTCATATTTATAAAACTCAATGCCTCTGTGAAAGTTAAGGATGACTACTATGTTTGTGATGCTCCTCACAGCAATCAGAACATTGTGTGTGTTGAAGTTGTTTTAATGCGAGCCAAAGATGCCTTTTAAAAGCAGGTTTACATCATTTTCTTATGCATGCCAGTGCTGTGTGTGAGGTAATTTAAGGCGATTCTGACAAGTGGTGTTCACCTGCTGATCCAGAATAGACAAAACACAAGGGAATATACACAAGCCTTGCACAGTATACAGACTGAATTTACTGTATACTGCAAGTAAGCAAAACCATAAATTCAGGCTTGACTTGTTTGCCTATTGAAGAATGGGCCTGTTGTTTATACTACATATAAGAAAATGTACTGTTAGCAACATATTGTTTGCCAATATATATATATATATATATACATATTTTTAAAGCTCCAATTTTAGATTAATTGAATAGTTTGTTACTGTTTTCCAAATAAAGGCTATCTATCTAATCACATCCCATTGTCCTTGGCTGCTTTTTCAGGTTCTAAAAGGAGGAAATATACATGTATGTAAGCTGGATGCAAAAGGGTTGTGAATACACTATATACAAGCCGTGTTGGTATCTTTTTCCTGCAGAATCTTGAAGTGAACTTCTGATGGTGGGGGAAGACAGTGGTTTCTGGTTTGACTTGACAAAGCAACATTTTTTTTTCAACAATTAATGCTGAGCGTACCTGCGCACGCAGGCTGGTTGTTTTTGCAGGCTCATTCTATAAAATATTCAAGGAAGTTTATTTTTAAGAAGCTCTCCAAAGATTTTCTGTACTGGTGTGTAACTTTTCACTAAGCCTGCACCATTGTGTAATGCAGATTAAATGTTTATGGGCTGTCTGTACAGGTAGTCCTTGACTTATGACCACAATTGAGCCCAACATTTCTGTGGTTTAGTGAGACATTTGTTAAGTGAGTTTTGCCTCATTTTATGACCTTTCTTGCCACAGTTGAGTGAATCGCTGCAGTTGGTAAGTTATTACTTGGTTATTAAGTGAATATGATGTCCCCATTGACTTCGCTTGTCAGAAGGTTGCAAAAGAGGATCACAGGACCTTGGGACACAGCAACGATCATAAATACAAAACCAGTTGCCAAGCATCTGAATTTTGATCACATGATCATGGGTATGCTGCAAAGGTAACTGTCAAAAAATGGTCATAAAGCACATTTTTCAGTGCTGTTTGTAACCTCTAATGGTCACTAAATGAACTGTTGTAAGTCAAGGACTACCTGTAATCAGTGGTGGAATTCAAATTGGTTTACCACCAGTTTGGTGGGCGTGCTTTGCACATGGCAAACACGTGCTTTGCGTGCGCGTAGAGGCTTTCCTACTAACTTTCTCCTGCACTCCCCGTTTCTTCAACAGCTGGCATGCAGCAATCTGCTGTGCCACGTGATGTAGCTGAGTGTCAAAAGCAGGAAATAAAGGTCCGTATGGACCCCGGGCAGGTGAGCCCAGCAACTGATCACCAGAGTGAACCGGTTTGCTCCCAGATGATCTTCGGCCGAACCAGTAGAATCCCACCCCTGCCTGTAATAAAGAAATCTTATCTCTTCAACATACCCCCAAACATGTTTACCATAATTTTCACTGCATGGGGAAAAAATGCATTTTCTTTGGAAAAGGTTTTGGACGAGAAGATATGGAAGTGGTAAAAGATTCTACCATCTTTTGATTTTACAATGCAAGGTGATGTAGCCCAGGCAAATGAACAAATCTCAGTAGCCTATTTATCCTTCGTGTCTTTGACTTCTATTTTTGCTTACAGATCATTGAAGTGTGCGCTTGGATCTTCTGCCTGACCCATTTATTTATTTATTTGGCAATCTAATCCCTCCAAATGTGTTGCATTGAGATACTCACAATCTCCAGCCAACATTGCTGATGGCAACTGGTATATAGCCCAAATGGAAGTCTCCAGCTTAGGAAAGGCATATATCAAGTTCTCCAAATGTATTGATAAAAGCCATGTCGCCACTTACACTGAACCGCAGCATAAATATGCCTTGGCCATACTGCTTTATTACTAGGTGAAGAGCTGTGGTGGTGCAGTGATTAGAATTAGTACTGCAGGCTAACTCTGCCCATAACCTGGAGTTTGATCCTAACAGGGTTCAAGGTTGATTTCAGCCTTGCATCCTTATGAGGTCGGTAAAATGAGGACCCAGGTTGTTGGAGACAATATTTTGACTCTGTTAACTGCTTAGAGCCATGATGGCAAACCTATGGCATGCCATTTGTGAGGGCACATGAGCCCCAGCCAAACTTACCTGCACTGTGCATGCGTGCACCACCCATCTGATTTTCGGCCTGTTTGAGGCTGTTTTCACTCTCCCGGAGGCTCGAGGGAAGCCTCTGTTGCCTCGGGAGGCCGAAAAATAGGCCTTCCAGAAATACCAAAAGTGCCAAAACAGGTCCATTTTCAGCCTCCAGAGGCTTCCCTTGAACTTCTGGAGGGTGAAAACGGCCTCCCCCAGGCTCCAGAGGGCCTCCAGAGGCTGAAAATGGGCACTTCTGGTATTTCCGGAAGGACCGTTTTTCGGCCTCCCGAGGCTGCAGAGGCTTCCCTCAAGCCTCCAGGAGGGCAAAAACGGCCTCAATTGGGCTGAAAATCAGCTGGGAGGCACGCACATACACAGTGCAGATAAAGGAGTGGGGCGGGGGTGTTGCATGCGCATACACGCGGGGGGTGCATTGCATTGTGGATGCTGGCACATGCGCACTATTGGCACATCACAACAAAAAGGTTTGCCATCACTGGCTTAGAGAGTGCATATACCAGTATGTGCTATTGCTGTATAGTGTTGTATTGTGATAGCATGCTTACAGGGGTGGGATTTAAATTTTTTAACAACCAGTTGTGTGGGCGTGGCTTAGTTGGTGGGCATGGCTTGGTGGTCATGTGACTGTCTGGGCATGGCCAACTCAACATCACTCACATCGTGGCACACATCTCGCGTGGTCTCTCATGACTATGGGGATGCTGCAAAAGTCATAAGTGTGAAAAACAGTCAAAAGTCACTTTTTTCAGTGCCATTGTAACTTTAAATAATCATTCCACACAAGCAAAGTACCAACAAAGGAGGGGGAAAAAACTCCAAAGAAGTTCCTGAGACAGGAAGTCTAGTTCTGCCAAGAATGTAATAAGGGTTAATGGAGAGGCAGTTTCTGTAAGCAACACCAGAATGTTTCCTTCCTGCCTTCCTTACAGGATTAGCCCAGTAATTTCTTCTAACAACCGGTTCTCTGAACTGCTTAGAATGTTAACAACCGGTTCTAGCGAATAGGTGCGAACTGGTAGAATCCCACCCCTGTATGCTTATATCCCCACTCATATGTGAGACATATACTCTGTATGTGAAACTGAAAGGTGATCCCACCCCATTCCAATTCCATGTAATCTCATGGTGTGCAAAATGTATGTATGGCTGTATCATCCATTAGCTGGGCTAGAAGGACTTAAATGATAGTAAACAGACTTGGTAGAGACAAGATAAAAAGAAGGAATGGGTACAGCAAATTTCAAGCCTATAACTAGCTAGACAGCATATCATTTTCTACCAGCTCAAGGCTAGATGGAAAACCCTTCTACTCAGCAGTGGGGATATGCTGTACAGCTAGTTATAGTTAATGGGAATTGGCATAGTTAGTTAGGAATTGAGAGCTGTCCCCTTAAGGGAATGCATCATGGTAAATGTAGTTTAATGCATCTTGGGAAATGTAGTCCATGTCATGTGGCCACATCTGTAATCCTGATTGGTCACTGAATTGACCCTTTGTTGGGTTGATGGGAGGTCTCTTCACTCTCACCTGGACCTCAGTAGCACACCTGCATCTCTACCCCTTGCTCATTCCATATGGAATGAAAGGGATGAAAGATTACCATCATTTTACACCATAAAGTAAGATATGCAAAGATTTGGACATTGAGATGAATCTTGATGTAACCATGAGTTATATTGAGGATGCCTGATGAACCAATAAAAATACTTTGTATGGATGCTTTGTGGAGTTATCTGTCTGCCTGATATTCAGCTAGTAATTGCAGCGCAGAACAGTAAAATGATGATCTGGATTCCCTCAGTATAAAGACAGTTAATTTGGATGCTTAGAAGTAAAGAATTACTGCTATATCGGATTCCCTATGAAGATTAAGAGCAATTTGAATTCTTGTGACAAAGCAAAGGAGTATTGAAGCCAGGAGTGAATGTGCAATGCTAATCTATTTGTATCTCTCTCTCTCTCCCTCCCTCCCTCCCCCCCCCTCTCTCTCCAAGCCACACACTTTAAAGCCTGTTTGGATTGCAGGAAGGGGCCAAAATTCCCCCCCTCTATTCAGCAAGAGAAGCTTCTCTATCTCAGGTTACATCTCTGCTAGCTCAAAAAGAACTGATTTGCAAAACAAAGGGAGGGGCCAGGTATTCCCCATCTATCCCTGTCTCCCTCCAGTTACTACCTACAAACTCTTTTTCAAATGCAGATGAAAAGAGTCAAGGTAATCTCTTCTTGTGGTTTAAAAAACAAGAAACTGAAGCTACATTTTTCAGTGGCTGGAGAGGGTTTGCTTTTTTCTTTTTCTTCCCTTTCTGATCTTTCTTGCAACAGGAAGTAAGCAATCTAAGAGGCCTCTCACCAATTTATTGGGGTTTATAAGTCATTAGTGAAGAGCAATTTCCACAGCAACAGAGCACATTTCCCCCTCCCCCTGAAGACACTAGTCTGATCCATGCAGGCTATTTGAACAAAGGAATTGCAATTTGGTTTCCTGTCTGCTTACAAGCCGAGAAGTTTTCTTTCTCTTCTCCTTTATTTAATGAAAATTAAAGGATATCAGTTTGCATTGCCAGCAAAGAGAACTTACTTAATCATAACTGCCCTTGCATTGCC